GATAATGTAAAAAGAACTGCAAAAAAGTCAGAAAATAGGTAAGTAAAACAGCCCAAAGGTAAAACCTTCCTAGGATTTAAATCCTTCAACTTTAATCCTAGTTAAGTTATTACTAGTTGTTCTTTGTCTATAAAGTCATTTAATTCATCTAAAAAGCCTTCAGCCCCCTGAGTCTGCTATTTGTTGAAAGGCAGCAAACTTAGACTGAGTTCTTAGATAAACTAGAGCAGCAGCAAATTTACAGTAAGCAATGATTCTGATGGAGAAGAATTTTAAAAGTCATGCAAAGATACAGAAGGATACAGTCTAAAAGCATCAGACTTCTGGGTGAAGATTTTAATTGCTTCATTCTGGTGAGAGGTTGTGCCTACAGAAGAACTACCCCCAGAGCTGTGTGGGAAAATGAAAAAGAGCTGAGGATCAATATCCCACATTTGGTGCCTGGGGACGGAGCCACAGCTGGGCATGACACAAACCAGGAACTTCTGTGAAAGCATTTTCCTGAACCTCTTCCAGCCCTTTGCTGAACTTGATAAAGTGACCAAAAGGATGAGCAAATGCTTCCACAATGATCCTTCTACCAAAGCTCCTTAAAAGAGACCCACTGGGAACTCCAGGAACAGAGATAACCCAGCAGTTGTGGTGCAGAGGACTCAGACAAGTACGGAGCTGCTGGACTCAACACTTCACTGTCAAGTTTCCAGATGTTCTCAGCATGCCTGAAGCTTTTGCTGTCACAATTGCCAGGCTTTCTTTCTCAAAAGAGGGACAGGAACTAAAGGGATTAAGAATTCTGAGCAGAGGAAACATCTGAGCAGGAGTATAAATACAGAGAGTGAATGGTGCAGTTGCTGACCTAAGAAACATTTAAAAAAACCAGGATCACAGGCTTCAGATACATTGTTCACATGAAATGCCCTCAATTCAATGTGCAGAAATCAAATATTATCTCATGAGGTGCAACAGACTGGAAATACAGGGTATACACTATTTTCAAAATTTCCAAAGGGGCAACAAAAACAGAAAAGAAAAATCTGATCTTTGAGATAGCCCAAACTAAGACTTGAAAGGTTTCTGCATTACTCAGAGGAGAATTTTTCCAAGTTAGACAAAGTTGAATATTTGCCTACTCAGATCTTTGATCACTCACTGTTCATATGGACACAGGCTGCTCATATGGATTTGAATGATCTTAATATCCCTTGAACCCAGAGTCTAATAAAAATAGTGAAATAGTCTCTACAATATTTCCAACTTTGCAACAGTGATCTGGCCTTTTAAGTGTTAATTCAGGGATACCTTGAGAAACATCTATAATTTTTTTAATAAATTTGAATCAAGATTTTGAATCAAGTAATTTTTGTAACTAAAAGCTGTCTCTAATAATAATTGTTATAAATATTCATGTGATCAGTGTTCTATTATTTCTCTGCCCATTTAAGATTCTGATCTCTCTCCTGGGATCAGCTGCCTACTAGGATGAATTCCACAAAAGAAATCTAAAAACAATGATAATATCTAGGGATGGGATTGCTCAGGTGACTTTATTCAGCACATTTCAATATTAGATGAGCACGAATTTTATGTTCACCCTTTTACTATGTCTAAAAAAGCATGTTTTAATAAAGATAGCTGATGAAAAACATTTCCAAATTTCAGAAACATTTATTATCCTCCATTACCCAAAAAAGTAATAAATATGAAAAATGAAACTCCTATCAGCTGGAGTTATGACAATTCTTAGACAAACATTTATTTATGAACTTATATAGCAGTTTTACATGTTGCAACACTTTCCCATGTAGAACGACAGCCAAACCTCTCTTTTTGTTCTCAGATTTTCAATAAACAACTCTTTTTTCAATTTGGTATCAACACCACATAACTGGCACAAGTTTTTATGCTGAACACATAATAGCAGGAATGATTCTAGTCTCATTAATTCTCCTTTTTTCATGACCCATTTTCTTTTCCTTCCCCTGAAAATCCATAAATCACTCCTGCTTGATTTTGTTATTTTCCTGGAAAAAAAAAAAAGGATATTGGATTGTATTTTTTAAAAGTACATGTCAGATGAAAGAAAATTCTCACATACTCCAGGCAGGAGAGCATTCAAATCATGCAAACAAACCAAGCTTCTTAAAGCTTGACTGAACAAAAGTAAGCTTGTTTTCATGGGCTGAAGAATCCCACAAAGGGGAAGGGAGACAAATGTCACCTAATATACATTTTCCAAACTTGTTCCAGCCTGGAGAGCCATATCATATTGATCCATTAATTGGACAGAAATTTTTGCATAGTAGAAGGCATGAGTTTATTTTATTGGGAAGCTCTTTTACTCATTGTCATTTCAGACTATTTCCAAAAGCCAGACAAGTCTGAGTCCATTCAGCACCACCATTTCATCATGAAGTACAGTTATCTGACTTTACATATGAATAAACCCAAATATAAGCCTATGTTAATCCTACCTAAAATTAACAGTTTCAATCTTAGTCATATAAGAATGATGTCCCCTTCAACACCCAAGAAAATACAATTAGCTTGTCCAGGGAAGAATTTTTTCAGAAGTGAGATCAGTGGCTGAGAAAGAATGAATGATCCTCTGGAGAGCTGCCTGGCTAAAATGAGGATTTAGTCATGTAGCTTACAGCAGAAACCCTTGGCTCCTGGGCAGCTGAGTCCAGATGAAAGGAGTTATACCCATGGGGCAGCTGGGGCACAGAGGGAGAAATATCACATCCAGGTTTGGGCACCTAACCTGAGGTGTCCATGGTGTCAGTGGAGCCTCCCATGAGCTCAGAGTCAGCACTGGGGGCTGCACTCTGTGCAGATGTCACTGATTCAGACAGAATCTCACACAGCAGGACTGTGTCTCTTAACTGAGAGCTCTCTCTCCACTCCCAAAACACACAACAGGCCATGTACTAAGGCCTTCCAGAGGATGCCTCTTGCCAAGATGGAGTGCTTTGCATTTCCAGCTCCCCAAAGGCTCAGCTGAACACCCACCTGGCTTCTAGGCATATACAGGGATGTATCCCGTTGCAGTATTAACAAGAAAATAAGGAGTGAATTCAAAAAAAGTGTTTCAAATTTTTGAACAAAGCTACAAAATAAAAGGGACATCAACATCTTCATCACCTGTACATTCTAGAGCTGTAGAATGATGGAGTAAAAATTATTTCCAGAACAGGTTATCTTGAGAGCTTCTACCACTATGCTGGAGGAAGGGACAATTCACAATGACAAAGGGGAGAAATGAAGGTCTGAGAAGATGGGGTAATATTTCACAGGATTTCACAGTTTCACACCAAATATTTTACAGTTGTCATTTTCTACATGACTTTTCTGCTGAAAAGGCAAACAGGAGGGAGGAAACACTGGCTGGGTATTGTAGAGAAGCCACAGAGGCTGTCCTTGCCATTCCAGCTGCACGTCATCAGGGCAACACTGCTTTGAAACAGAAATGCAGTGTAACAAGGTGTGCAATCAGAGCAAAAGCACAATGGCAATCTTCCCAGGTTATTAAGGTCCAGCAGCCATTGTCCAGTGCTGAACATCACACCTCAAGAAAGAAGGAGGCCAAGTGAGGAGGCTGTGGAAAAACACCAAATAGAAACCTAAGAAAATATATCATGTGGTAAAAAGCTGAAGCTTTCCACCTTATAGAAAGAAAACATCCCAAACCCACAGGATTACTTTTTTCATGGCTCAGATTTATGGGTTTGAATGACAGTGAAAAAGAATATTGGGGATAAATAAGAAAGTAGCATATAACTCTGTGTGGGGATTCCCACCTTTGGAGATCTTTAAGAATTAGTTAGATAATCTTGAGATGAGATGAAGAAACAGATGAGACAATTTTTACAGTCCATCAAATCATTTAGGTGCCTGTGCTTAAGCAAATTTTGTAGAATATAATAGGAGTATCTGTACCATGAGGAGCAGCAGTGGTGGAGTAAGATCAGCACAAGATTTTTTTCCCCAACCCCTCTGATTCTCTCCCTGAACTGGACAGTGTGACCAAGTGGTTTTCTTTCCTTTACATGTTGGTTTGGAGCTGTCAGCAGCGACTGCCTGACTGAAACTGATGCTTCCAGGGCTCATTGCTTAGGGCTATTTTCCAGCATTACGGTACTGGAATATATCATATACCATGAAAATAATTCATTTTATCTTATCCAAGTCAATCTGTAACTCATTTTTATCTCTTCACCAGCTAGATAATTGGTTCTGGAAGTGCTTCAAAAAACCCATTTAATATCTTGGCCCATGTTATGATAAAATCCAGATGAATACCAGCTCCTTCTCAACACCTTTACTCTTGGGGAAGGAGGAGAGGAAGAGAGCAGATGCTCAGCATGTTCCAGCCAGCTCAGGATGCTCAGCAGATATGAGTGATCACCAGGAGCCCAGGGCAGCACTCTGGAGCCTCAGTGAAAATATAGGGGCCCCCCTGGTGTCCTTCATCAGACAAATGGCAGCTTCAGCACACAGAGGGGCCTTTTTGAGCTCCTACGCTTCTTATCTCCTCCAGTGAGTCAGTGGCAGAAATGTGTATCCATTCTTAGAAACTTTCCCATGAGAAACTCACCTGGGCTTACCTGCTTTTGGGTGTCCTTTTTCTTTTTTTTAATTTTTTTTGTGTAATTTTTTTTTTTACAATTTAAGTATTTACTGGGAAACAAACAAAGAGGAGAAATAATATTGTATTATAGACTATTAGCAAGACAGCTATAGCAAGCAGCAGACCAAAACAAGTTTATAAAGAAATATCTTTCATTAGAAGAAACTTTACATGACACACATCAAAGTGAAAAACAGTAAAAATTGGTTATAACTCTAATTTCATTTTCTCTTGTAAAGAAAAAATGAGTTCATTGAAATTTCTGACTTTATTATTTCTTTATTGCTTTCATATGGCACAAATTCTCCAGTCTTTTAAGAAGAAAAAACACTAATTTATAATTAGAAGCAAAAATCTTATTAACTTGTCTCCATATTTGCAAAGGCAACAGGGATCTTCTAAAATTTTTCTGAGGTCTTGTGGGCATGTTATGGTAAAACTACATAAACCAGATGTTCAATATGGCACATGATATTCAGATGAAAAGATTACACATTAATTCTCAAAACATTTCATAGATGAAGATCTGTGAAAAGAAAAATATGGCTAAGAGATTTGTTATCTGTATACTGCATTTCCTGAAAGGCTACAGAGGAATTTTTTTTTTCCCCCAGTCATAAGAAATCACCAGTATAAAATATCCTTTTTGAAAAACACCTAATTATATTAGAAATAATTTGAAGTTGTTGCATTCTCTGTTTTTGTTCAAGGGGCACTGAAGCAATAAAGATGAATTACTGATTACTGGGACTGAATTATCAAGAATGAAACTGAGGGGACTTTCCTTCTGCAGAGGGAATATTAATTGTTGGCAGTTAATGGCAGAATTATAGGTTCATTTTGGTTTTATATAAAACTTTATTGAATTAATTGAACCGTGTGCACTGTGTCATAATGGGAAACATCTATAAACTCTAAGGGAAGTTTCATTTCTGCACTGAAAGTTGTTGTAAGAGCTTGCATTATTCAGTTCAGATACAGCTACACAGCGTTTGGCTGCTTTGCCTGGGTTTGTTAATCTTGTGCCAGGGAAAAGAGACCATTATCCACTAACATTTTATAGACTGTTTGTACTCCAAATATTCTATGTCAAAACTAATTTAGCAAGCTCAGTTCAGAGGGAGAAGAAAGCTGGTTCATGCTAGGAGTGGAGGTTGGCATTTGGGAGCCTCAGATGTCTGTACAGGGCCAGGGACAGCTGACAGGGGAGACAGAACCACCAAAATCATCTCCTGAGAGTGAGCTGCTTCTGGGCTCTGGGCTACTTTCTCCTTCCTGCAAGCCCTAGTAGGAGCCTGAACCTAAGAGCTCTGCTGACCCCATCTGCAAAGGCATTTAATGATGAATTATATAATAATTGAATTAAGGCAGTGTTTGCACATCATTGCTCTTGTTAAATGTTCTCTCTCTTTCCCTATTGCACTTGAGAAGCCTGACACAGACTGAGGCCATCCACAGCACGTGAACTTTGCCTTTGGAGCATCACCAAACAGCTCCAAAAATCTCTGTGAATGAGGCCCTCCTGTACCTCAGGCTGCTGCTGCAGCAGTAGAGACAGGGAAGGACATTCATAAGCTCATTAACCTTTTTTTCATCAAGATAAAATCCTCCTGCACGTATCAGCAGAGCATCACAGTTGGTTTCTTGTCCTGTGATCCCCCTTGGTGCATAAACCAAGAGACAGCACAGTTATCTGTCGGTGTGCACTCCTGCTGTGAGCTTTACAGTGCTTGACACTTTGAAAGTCTTCCTTCTGGTAAAGACTTCTGTAAGTTTGAGCAAGGTTGTATCAGTAAGAGTCAAAGAAGTTTAATTTGGTCCAGTTTCACAGATTCTTGCAAGTCTGAGTTGGTTTACTCTGCAAACCAAATTCAAATACAAATACAAATACAACCGAATTCAAATACAGATACAAATACAAATGCAAATTCAAATACAAATACAGATACAAATAAAAATACAAATACAAGTACAAGTACAAGTACAAATACAAATACAAATACAAATACAAATACAAATACAAATACAAATACAAATACAAGTACAAGTACAAATACAAATGAAGTAAAATTATAGAGGTGAGTCCTCAGCTTATTTTTGTCTGTATCACAGCATTGAGGCAGAAAGGGTTGACAGAACAGTTGTTTGGCTCGACCTGTCCCAAGTTTAGCTCATCTGGGCTCACTCCAGTAGTTGGACAAGAGTGACTGTTCTAACAAATGAGGAATAAGCCTACTGTAATCCTTTTTCACATCTCTGACTGAGCCATTTGATTCAGCTGCTTCCCTGCAAAAGGCATGATGCAGTAGGAACAGTTCAAACTGGGCAACTTTGGGGAAAGCCCTTTGATCTATCAGAATTGATGGCAGCTCTGGTATGAAATACAGCAGATTCAGTAGTTGTGACAGGCAAATAGCTGTGATGAGGCTGCTGAAATAAATGTTCATGGTGACAGTAAAAATCAGTTCAAGACAATTTGTAACACTCAGGAATTCTTTCAAAAGGAGAGGGCACTGAATTTGATTTGTGACCACATCCCAAGGAAACACTGAGCTTATTGGTGAGTGACACATTCAACTGTGACCATCACAGCACTGATTCCAGAGCCCCACATGCAACTTCTGGGAAATGTTTTCAGATGCACTTTATCTGAATTTGCTACAGATTATGTAAGTGAAACAAAAATAAACGCTGATTTCCTGTAAGAACAGCAAAATAAAAGGTTTTCTTCATAAGCAGACAGATCAGAATTTTGGAATAAAAGTTATTTCAACTCTATTCATTTACTCTGTTGGCCAAACTCTTCCTCTCCACCCAGCCAAGATCTCATGCCAAGCTCTGGATAAATCATTGGCAGTCATTTTCATGACATGGTTGGCTTGGAAAGGCTTGGGAGGAATTCCAGCACTGAGAATTCAGCTGCAGGTGGAGGAGCACAATCTGGAATGCACAATGGCAGTCATCTCCACACACTGGCATTTGCAACCCTTTTTCCTGGCTCACAAAAACTTGTGCAATCACAAGCACTTAGTGTAACACTCCATTACTGCTTACAAGCATCTCTATCACTGCATGCACAGCAATATGACTGAGGCTATTGGCTTCACATTGAAGTAAATCCTTAGAAGAGGCAAGCCCTTAATCAATTCATATTTTGTTCAGTTGGTGTCAGCATTCCTCAATAGACAGAAAAAGGTGCTTCAGTTCCACCTCTTAATGATCAGCTGAGAACGGCTCCAAAACCACAAAAAGACGCATAGCTCATAATCAGCAAGACCCTCTGTTCATTGTGATGGATGAATGTGGAGCTGGACAGCAGTTGCTCAATATTTTGGAATGTCTCTGTATGCTGGCAAACCCCTCTCTTAGGATCTTCCTTGCTAGCAGGCAGCAAGGCATTTTACTTACTGCTGACTTTTCTAAACCACTTTTTGCTGTAATGGTTAGAGTAAAAGAGGGGAAGGCTCCCTTCCCTCACTCTGCTTCCACTCCCACCAGTACAATTCAGATACAATGTGTTTGACCTTTTTTGCAAGATTACACTGCTGATTCCTGCCCAATTTGTTGTCCACTATGACCCACAGAGGGTTTTTTTTTGTGGTTTTATTTTTGGTTTTTTTACAAAACTCCATTGGCCAGTGACCTGTACAGCTGTGTGGAGCTTTTCTATCTACATGAAGTCAGCATCTTTAAATCTATATAATCCTTGTTTCTCGTGTGCTACAACATGGTATTAAGCTCCTAAAGTTCTGGTATGTTGGCAGATGAATATCCTACCTCCAGGTTTGAAAGGCAGCATTCATCTTGCTTTGGTGTGCATCATCTTAATACATATTCAGGCTGTTTCCATCCTTAGGCCCTTTCCTCTGCAAACATAAGCATCAGAGAATTGATTTAGCAAAGAGATGGCACTGAAATACTTTGTCTTGATTTTAGCCTCAAAGCACTTCAGTTAAAATGCTTAGCAACAAAGCACATCTCAGCAAAAAAGGGAATGACACTCCCTAATTTTCATTTGTGAAATTGAAAACTCTGGACAATGAAAAACAGTGTAGGCAATAAAGGAGCCTTCAGCAGGACTATGATTTTGTTCTTGAGCACAGCAGGCCCATGGTGACAGTACAATGGCACATGTATTGGCTATTTTCTGTCTGGGATTTCCTGTTTTCTTAGCTCCATGATAAAATGAGTGTCCTCATGGTTATGATTCCCACAATCCTGACTAACTTAAGGGACACTCCTTAGCATGTCCCCCTCAATGCTACATGAACTGTCATTCAGATCACCCATAAAGGCTTTTTATCCAGAAACCTTAGAGCTGCACTGAAGGAGATATCTCATGTCAGGAGCTCATCCACGCCCTTCCCATGACATGGGTGCTTGGTGTGTGCATCCATCAGTGAAGGAGCCTGTTTCTCACCACCAATGTGACCAACAGCACAGGGACAGGGCCCTGCTGTGATGCCACAACTGCTGCTGCCGTGCAAGGAGACAGTGGGAGGACCTGGGTCTGCTCTGCTCTCTCCACAGAGTGAGCTACAGCATCCTGGGGGCACAACAAGCACCTGGAACAGTGCACACTGAAGGCTTTCCAAGCCTTTGTCTCCTCTTTATTGAGGATACAAGCTAGCTGGGCTTTCACAGGAACAGCAGTTCTTCTCTTTCATGCCTCACTCTCTGAGGTGAAAGCCAAGACATAGAACTGACCGTTCTGCAAAGCAGAAAATGTTTGCAAAAGAGCAAAAAGGCTACTCTGGATCAAACCTTACTGTCCTTGGGCTTGCAGCTACTCACCAAAGAAGCCCAGAAACCCAGCTGTTGAAGGAGCTGGTGGCACATTAAGGGCTACACAACCTAGAAAACAAAGTGACTTGGTAGAAGAAGAAGATCTGAGTGCAGAAATCAGCCTTCATTACTGTCATGGTTTTAAAGCACTAGCTAAAAAATTACCAGAAAAATTTACTAGAGAAAACACGACAATCATGAAGGTTTGTCTAACTGGGAGAGGTCAGTGAGGAAAAAACATGCCAGATTGCTACCCACCATCTCTAGCTGTGAGATTGATGGGACAGAAGTCATCAGTAGGGACCTGTCCTTGATTAGGCTCTACATGGAAATATAATAGCAACAGTGGAAGTTTTTAGTGCAGAATTAAAACCACTTGGGTTCATGTCTAGACAAATAGAAATACCTTAGGGTTTTTGTTTATCTTTTTCTGAACTGTAGAGGATTAAGAAGGACTGTTTTCATGTCGTTTTGGAAATAGCAAATCTTGTCAGATCTTATCTAGACTGCTGGCCAAATATATAATGTTTGCTGTGCTTAATGTGTAACTTAAGAACTTAAAAAGGGGTATAAGTGTTTGAAAACTAATGTTAATCTAATTCTAAAGTAAAATTGAGTAAACATTGAACAATTTTCAAGTCTCACTAGCATCTCAATCCTTAAAATGTCCTTCAAATTAAAAGAACTTTAACTGCACTACAAGCAAAATGCACAGGAATTTCCCTCTGCCATAAGAAAAATAAATTCTAACATTTAAGAGGAAATACTGAGACCTAGAAATGAAACAGCAAAGAAATTATGTTATCTCTGATAGGAAGAGCAATACAAGAGAAGACCCTCGGTACAGTTTATAACCATGACTAAAATAAGCATAAGAAATGGAACATGAGAGACATAATAGTTCTTTTCCAGCTATACATCTTGCTCTGACACAAAATTGATATGCCAGACTAAAGTACAATTCAAATGAATAATTTCCAACTGCTGAGGAGTTACTAATATTTTTATTTCACCTATTTGCCATGAGCCATGACCTTAACTCTTTCATCTCTTACATACTTCCCTCTCTGTACAAATGATAATCATCTCCCTTCCCATGAAAAATGGACTCTGTCCTCTTAGGATCATGCAACAGAGATAGGGATGAGTAGCAGTCAAAGCACAAAGCAAAACCCCCCAGGCTCAGGGTCATGTATTTTTTGATTCATTGTGATTTATACTGCTCAAATATCATATGAATATATAAGAAATAAAAGCAAGGAAGTAGCTACCATAGGCCAAAACCAGGACTCCAAGAATAAATTTCTCCGCATTATTCAGATTCCAGTCCCTGAATCATAAACCAGATTCATGGGTTTGGCCCTGGCCCCTGTGCAAACAATGTGGAGGCCCCTCTTCCAGTGAGGTTCAGCTTCTGCCAAAATCTTTAAGGAACAGTATGTCACTTTGTTGAGACTGAGATGAGTGACGAAACCTTCAAAAGGAGCAGCTGAACCACATTGCTCAAGAGGAGCGCTGTCCCTGGAGAAGATGAGCAAAGGAACGACACTCCATTTTGGATGAGACTTTTCATCAAGAAATTTGCCAAGTTCTTTGACTCAGGCAAATCAGAATCTGTGGCTGGCCCTGACCTGGCCACCAGACCCCCATTCTGACAAATGTTTAATGCAGTGCTGCCCACTGATCCTACCTTTATGCAACACTTTTATTTAAGTCTCTGGTTAAGCTATGGGAACACAACTGTGCTGTTTCTTTCCCTTGTAGATAAGGCAACAAAAAAGGATGGCAAAAAGAGTCAGAAATATGTTCTGGCTATAAATAGACTCCTTAATTGCTTAGCACGCTTCAATTATTTCATTGCACAATTACAGTTGTCAGTTCTTCACTCCAAAGAATCCTTCTTAACTGCTAATCCAGAACTATGATTTAAACAACGCTGCATTAGGAATTTCTGTGTGCAGCAAAACACAACCAATTATAATCAACACTGGCAAATTCTAATTTGACATTAGACATAATTAACTACATGAGAAATTACCCTTATAATAATATTCAACAGGAAGAAAAGGCATCTTCAGTAAGTCGTGCTCACTATTAGGTGTAGTCACAAAGTTCTTGTTGGCTTCTTGATAAACTATCTGATATCAAGGATTTTTGGGTGGCCCAGGTACTTGTGGTACTAAATTCTTCCCAGTAAAAGACTTTTTCTATCATTTCCTACTGCTGCAGAGCCCAAGAAGATCCAGAAGATTCCTAGAATCCTGGAGGAAGACTGAAGAGAGCCTGTTGTACAAAAAAAGACCTTTCATTTTGGATCCCTAAGCACTTGACACAAAAGAGAAAGGTTTATTCAAGTATGCTCTCGAAGTTCTGGCAACCTTTCAGCATAACATCAGGAACTGAGTGTTCTCTTCAGAAAATTCTTCTCCAATTTCAAGGCCATCTCCTGTTTTGCTTTACTTCTGACAGAATGGTTTCATCTTGGTTCTCTCTGCCTGAGGATATGGTCACTCACAGGCATCTTGTCAGAGCAGCTTAACAAATGGCAGCTTCTCAGCTAAGGTTGCTAAATGAGGAAATTGATTTTGTGGAGCAAACAGTCTCTCTTGTACCCAGGCCTTCTCCCTGTTGTAATCTTAGCTATCCTTGCTATAACAAGAATGGGTTAGAGGTCTTATTTTAGGTGAAAAACGTAGCATGAGACAGGAACTCTTCAATTGGCTTGTTCAACAACTGAACTGTTCAACTGTTCATTCAGCCTTGAAAAGTCAGGTAACCCAAATCAAAGCCCAGGGATATTGTTGTAACTTGTGGGTTGTCCCAGGCAAAACCACAACAAGGTGGAGAATTACATTCATTAGACAAGGCAACAAAGAGGGAAGGAGAAAGGATGCAAGCGGCAGTACTGAAATCTGATATGCCAGATTTCACAATTGTCCTTGCTTCAAAGAGTTGAGTGTGACAGAGAAAATCACTCCCATGTGGCAAGTCTGGTGACAGTGACTCACAGTGTCACAGAGAAATCTTTTTGAATTTCATTAAATACATCTTGGCATCCTCCACTTTTGTATACCATGGATAATAGTAGATAATAGGTAATTTCTGCACACTCGCATTGAAAAATATTATCAGAAGCCTTCAGGATGAAGTCCTGGGCCTAATGAGGTTAATTAGAGTTTAGCCATTTGGTTTAGGAGAGCCAGAGTTCATATTTATAATCTTCTCATTTTCTGTTATCATGCATTCTTTTTCAAACTTTCCTTTTTTCCATTTAGAAAGTGCTCTTAGGATAAAAAAGCAAACATCCCGTGGATACAGAAACCTGACAAGGAATGAGCCTCTTGTGCTAAAAGCAATCCAGACCACTAAATTTTTCATTAATTACTATTTCTCAGAAAGTTTCTGATTAGCCTCCCAGCTGTTTCCAACACTCTAGCCTGAAACAGCCCAATAAATACAAAAACATGTTTTCACATTTTTAAAAGCTAATGGCTCACAGCTTCTAGCTTTTGCATAGGCCAAAATGACCAGAAATAAACTGGGCAAGAAAATGAGCAAGAAAAGCAAAGACAAGTTCCATGAGGAACCGCTTCAGAAACCAGAAATGAGAAAAAACAAGATAGAAATTAAAGCACTGTAAAACTGTGTCCATCATCCTTGATGAAAGACTGCTTTTTACTGGCACTATTAATTTTTCTAAGGTTAAAATATTGTTAGTACCATATATACATGTCCATGTGATATCTTCAGTGTGGCTACTAAAGGTAAAAGATAATCTAGGATGCAAAAAGCATTTTGGACTCAGAAATTCACTGGTAAGAAATGTCTTTCTGTAAGAACAAATGTAGAAAAACAAAACACTGAAAGAATCTGTGAAAAAACATTTGACATTAAATTGCTCCTACAAAATTAAGCCTCTATGTTAATTTTATTCACAATATTGTTATTTATAATCAGGGTTGAGGGGAAATTGCATCACAAACACTCTAACTTTTTGGTCCAAAATTAAGGCCCATTCCATGGCCTTGCCTTCTTCAAAAAATACACAACAATATTCATCTTTAAAATAACAAATTAGTGGGACACTTGAGTGCACACACTTCCATCCCTGGGGAGAAGAAGAGAAGACAAACAACATGTGACAGATGTTAATCACATAACTTAATGCACTATTGAAAGTGGGTCAGCAATAGCAATGAAGAGCAGCCCATTGGAATCATAAAAGGATGGAATAGAACTCAAATAAATTATAAAGAGCTATAATATGATTGAAATGTGAACAATGAATTTGGTTTGATTCTGATGCATGAGAAAGTTTGTTTTGAACACGTGTTTGCAGTGGAGGGTAACCTCTGTTATCTGGACAGCTAGTGTCAAAATCAATATTTAACTTTGGAGATGGCAATTAACTAGACATATCTCACATGGAGATGTGGTTAAAATCAATTGGAGAGGGAAAGCAAATAAGGAATTAATGGATCTTTTTAATTACATTTTTTCAAACAAATGCCCTTTGTATGGTCATTTTCATAAAGTCATAGACCAAAACCAGGCAGTATCTTTTCACAGGGTAAGGAAGACCTTAACAAAGAAACATCTGATTTTTGTAATGATGAGTT